ATGTAAATTTTGCATGCATATACTACTATACACATGGTCATGTTTGTTTATGAATAAAATTACACATCACGTAGCAGGCGGAGGCAAGGATCATGTGTATTTAATCAGGTGATTCTGCTCGTTCGATTGAGAATGTTTGCGTAGGTAGCAGAGTTGTATCGAATTTGATCTTCACTTTCCGAAATATTAATACTTTATCGGTCATACTACATCTCATTTATTTGCTGTCGCACTCCACGGTGCAGCATCCAATTCTGCGGCGTAAACCGCACTTGTCCGAGAGTGAAGTACCCGAAACGGAATCCAACCCGAATCTGTTTGAGTATGCGAACCAGCCGCGTTTGCACCGGTAAGTATGTAAATTCGTCTGCCTGGTATCCACTTTGTCATCAGTTAACCGAATATTCTCAATGAAATGCCCATTGATTCTCCTTGAAGGTTCCACTCGTTTGAGTTTCTTTCGTCGATATTTCCTTTATACGCGCAACGGTACTAAAAGCCTAAATTCTACACGCGCAGCGGAATTTTCGATTCAACTGATGGTGTATCATTTTCTAGGGGTTGGGTTCTTTCTTTACAAATCAACGCACTACAAACGTGTAGTTCCATCCTGCACGATTTGTGTCTAGGCTTACATCTTCATACAGAGATTTCATACCTTCCCATCATATGTACATACCAACTGTTTCGTATGCCGATCAGATGCTGATCATATGTTGAACAACCCTTTCCCTCCTTGTGCTATTTCTAGACTGATGTCACTACCTGCCAACGGCGGCGCACACAACACCACCGGAATTGTGAACTCACAGAACACCCGAAATAGAATCAGCCGAATGGCCTCAGGCCTAGAAAGCGGTACCAGCGGACACAGTGGCTTAGACGTGCTTGTGGAGGGCCAGTTGAACTACTCTGTGAGTGACTCGGGGGGTGACGCGCAACCGAGAAGTTTGGTACTCCCGGAAAGTAGTCCATGGCCAGTAGAAGGAAGTATCCCCGACGCTTTAGAAGGAACTTCCGATGGTGCCCGGTCGCCCAAGAGTATCAAGTCTTTGCCAGCGCGTGGCCAGGATGTGGTAGATGATACTCTAGATATGGAAATCAAGGAGTTTAATTCTCTACCTATGCAATCAGATGCCATGTCCTGTGAGCAAAGCCCGGTGTGTTGTCGATGTATATTTGCATACGTGTTATAAGGATTGGAGTTCAGAGTGTGGCTGCATTGTGTTTGCAATAGAATGCCCCTGTATGATGATAGCGCGCACTAAGAGACGATTTATTTCGTTTAAAAAATCCTTCTTTGAAGGGTTAAAATGGAATAGAGATTGTTTTCATTATGTGTCACTGATAAGGCTTTTCACCAGGAGTAGAAGACAAAAATTAGTTTTTTTTTAGGTAGGTGTATTGTTGCAGCTTTCCTAAAAAATTGGTTTCAACGGTCATCAAGAGTCATGTAATGAGTTCAGTATAAATAGGTGAGCAACGTCAATTTCAAATGCAACTTGCCACAGTTGAATATGAACAATGCTTAGCCCCTTATCACTTGCATCGTTTACCGCTCACAGAACAACGGCATGTTCTCCAACCGCTTCTCGCTCCTACTCTAAAATCACACACCACAGAGTACGTCATCATTTCGTTATGTCGCCGAGTACATTTTCACATATCCGCATACTGATTCTCCACTCTGCTTCTACTTTTACTCTACAGAATATTTTCTTCGATATTAATCAGTCGAGTGCAGAGATCGCAGCACGACGGCGCAGTTCCATCGGGCGATTCGATGTGCGTGCGGTGGACGAGAACGACCTTCCCTTGCAACTGTTGCAGAAGTACACGCACAAGCCCGACGGAAACCAGCGCCACGCCCACACAGCTACGCGTGAATCATCTGGGCATGGACACGCACACACGCCGGAATCAGCGCGGGCACGCGGACGCTCGCCTGGGCGACCACGCGCACACGCGGACTCATCTGACGATTCACGCGCATGCGCACAGACGCGGAAACTCAGACGCAGTCGCACGCACACCCCAGACTACAGGCTGACGCGCTCACGCTCACCAGACCACGTGCCGTGGCAGGAAGATCCACTTACCCATCAGAGGATACGCAAGCGTCCATCACTACACATCGATACCCACACGAATGACCGTGCCTACGCTCACGCACAAACGCACACACACATGCGTACACATAGTCGATCGCCGAGCAGGTCTCCCACAGGGTCTCTCAGGAGTGCGCCGTTGAGAGGCAGTGACAGTGACGCTGAACCAGAGTGGCTCGAGACCAAGCTCAAGCCCATGGCATCGGTGGGGAGGTTCGATGTGAAGCCCGCAGACGTCACTACTGCAGCTACTGATGATGAGGAGACGAACGGCCTACCTCCGGCCACGCCCGTGAACACGCCCGTCCACCCGTTCACCGACTCGCATACGTACATTCGCGCACAGGATAGTGCAGCACGCCCCGAGAGAGCGCACAGCATCGCCCAGGTGTATGCACAAGCACACACAGACGATGGCAGCAAACAGGCGGATCCACATGTCTATGCCGGCCGGCATAGCGCGCCCTCCACGGGTTCAAACGGCGAGGAGTGGATTGGTATCGAGATGCAGCCGATGGGGGATGGACGGACGCCGGCCAGCGCTACGACAAAGGGGACTATTACTAAGGAGAATAGTGGCCGAGTGAATGCTGGCAAGCAGAGTACTGCCAAATCGAACGCTGGCAGGAGGCAGTCGCACGGGAGATTTGATGTGGTTTCTACACCCACCGAGCAGCCGAGTGCTGGTAAGTGGACTATGGGTGGTGTGTTCGTTGTCGTAGAGATGTGTATATATTTGCGGAATGGGTGTAAGCGGGCTTTAAGGGGTGTGTATGAGTACGTGTGAGTGTTTTTGTGTGGTTGAGGTGTGTGTATGTATGTGGTGAATGTAAGTGTACTGTTTTGATGCCGGGTTGTTGTGTGTCAATATGTAGATTTACGCATAGGTAGGTGTGGGTATGTGCATGTACATATGTGTCTGCGTTTGTTCACATGTACGACAATGCTTGTGTGTGAATGTGTGTGTGCGTGTGTGTTTATGTATATATGCGTTTCTATGCGTAAACTTGCGTGTACAGACACGAACTTTCATCCCCTACGATGCCGTTGTGAATAGCTGAACGTGTGCACCACCTCTTCTCGTATTCATCATAACAGATGACAGCCAATCCGAGTTGTCAATAGCCTTTGACACTCAACCGAGCACAAGTAGCACCAATGACACCGGAACCTACGACACTGAAACCGACAGCGGCAATCGTCTGCTTGTAACACCAGGGCCGTTGACTGACACTCGATCACAACTCAAGACCTTCCCACTACACCAACGACCGAGTGACTCGCGAATATCAAGCGATTATACGGAGCGAGAGGACGGGAAGGGCAACGAGAGTGAAAACAGTGCGAGCAGGAGGGGGTCGGAGGTGTACGAGGAGCTGTTAAAGGATATCGCCCAACACGCCACGGTCTCTGATGATAGCCCTGTGTACCGACACAGGTATGGAATCTGCGCGAAACTATGCATGAATGCACACACATACATATAGCACCCTGGCGTGTGTTTCTGATGATATACTACTTTGCGTTTGTCGGCGTATACACACACACACCCAGGCATGCAAAAGTGTGCCCAACGCAACGCCGCGCATCACCAACCCAAATACATAAGCGAGCCCTGCTCGTGTTCTCCCCACTACTATTCTTTGTTTGACTTGCGCCTGTATGAACAGTTTAAACAGACAAAGTTTATCGTTAAATTGCCTCGTGCCTGTGCGGTCCGATAGCAGAATAGACTGCGGTTAGTGGTGCCTGGGGGTTCGATCATGCGGTTATACTCGTGAGACTACTTGACATTGATTACTAACGTGTGACACTGATTTGATTCAAGCCCTGCTGATCGGGAGATTGCGATTGGCACTCCTTCTCTCGTCTCTGAGGAGAGAGCTTATCGAATTTGTCTAACTAGAATTCATTACTGTAGTGCCTTGCGCATAGCCATTCATATGGATAAGCAACACTATGCATCTATATCTGTATGCATATCAAACTAACTATATACAGAACTAGATGTATACAAAGCAAAACGATATACATTACAATATATATACATAGCCAACTAATGTATACATTAATGTAAGTAAGCATAAGCAGCTATATACACAGCAGTCTATATATATAGCCATCTATATGACAAATTGCCGATGTGGTAGTAACCAATCATTGTTGGATATCCACAGAAGAGGGTCTAGCATTAGTCTGCTGAAGAGCCCACATATGGGTATGAAGGATGAAGTGAAGGAAACCTCGCTGGGTAACACATTTTCCGAATTTAGCAGTAGTCCGTATCTTAGCCACAGCAATGACACTATCGAGACTCTCCCCCTTAAAGGTGTGCGTGTGCGGTGTAGGTAGTTGTAAACCGGGTCTATTGAATATGCTTGCATAACATTTGAGTTGGTGAGTGGGAGTGTGGGTGCAATATGTGGGCTGAGAGTCTGAGTTGTTTTCGGTGGTGTGTGACAGAGTGGGTGAGTGGGTGAGTGATTTGAGACTGTTTTTTATTCCTCGATGAATTTGGGTGCAAATTTTCTAAGGTCTCCTAAAACATATTGTTCCTTTCGAGCATTTGTTCCTATGATGTATATGTTTGATGGTTCTGTGGGTACATTGTGGGGGCTCACAGTCGATACTAGTGTGGTGTGATGGTGTGGATGCATCATTGGATACTGTGTGTTCCATACGCGGTACCTCGACGCTCTATAGCTGTTGAGTGCGTGGGTTTCCTATTAGGGCTGTGGTTTTACGGTTCGGTTATGGGTGATTGATCACGTGGGTGGTTGAAGACTGTGTGTGCAATGATAGGGAGAATGAGACTAATGGGAGTGTTGGTGTGTGGACATACTGTGAGTAGGCTGGATGACTTTTGTTGGTCTCAGTCATGTGTGTGGGTGAGTGAGCGCGTGGGTGATTGGAGACTGTATGTGCAATGGTAGTGAGAATGAGACTTATGGAAGTGTTGGGAGGGTGTGTGGACATACTGTGAGTAGGCTAGGTGACTGTTGTTGGTCTGGTTTTGCCTGAGTCACGGAGTGACTCTACTATAATGTAGCTTGGGTTATGTAGGGGTCTGGATGTGGATACAATGCGTGAGGTGCATGCGGGTGGCTGGTTTCAGTGCCGTGTGGGTGAGTGCGAACGAGGGACTACTATGTGTTTGGCATGGTGAGGCTAAGTCATTGTTGGATTGTTTTGGTGCGTGAGTAAGTGGATACCAAATTCGTACCTTCCAATTTCTGCATGTGTTTGTCGGCAAGATGTGCAAGGCCGAAAAAGAGCCCAACACATGTAGAACCAAGACCACTTTAACATACACTCGCTCCACTTTAACTCGATAGTCGTACACTTTAGAACAAGTCATTCTAAACAACCCCTGGCGCGTTGTCCGGTTGCTCCTATTCATCCGCTGTAGGCAAAGAGAAGATGGAGCGTGTCCCATCCTTGTCACCCACCAGTAAAACGTCAAAGGGCAAAAATAAGGCCCACAGACGGTCAGTATCGCTCAACAGTTCTGGTAGCGCCAGCAGTCCCAGCAGTAGCTTCTTCCGATCGCCAAGGTTTGTCTATGGTGTACTTTTCGAATCTGTCTCGGCCTCTGTATATGCTTGTGATTTTTCGTGTGTCGAAATGTGTCTTATTTTCAGACCATGAAGTATCCATACACTGTATTTTAAGTGTGTCTATGTCCAGCTGATATATATATATATAATTATATATATATGTGTGTGTATATATATGTATGTAATATATATATATATATATATATATGTACGTATGTATGTATATACTATTATATATATATATATATATTATTATATATATATATATATATATATATATATATATA